TATATATATAATTTTTAATTGAACAATAATGTAAAAAAATAAATAAATTACATCGCTATTTTTTATTACAAAAATTAATAATCTTATCCCGTAACAATAATTTATGACTCGATAAATTTTAGTTGTGTTTTGTCACTACAATATGTAATGATAAGGTGTTTTTAAAATTTTTAAATATTGTACTCATTATATACTTGTGATTTTTAGTAAAATGTCTCTTTCGAGAAAAATTAAGATGACCATTATTAAAGTGATTGTTACCATGTGTACTTTTGGACTCGAGTGTAACGACCCGCCTGGTCGTTACACAACAAACAACACAGCACCACACTGGATAGAGTATACATATATAAAAATAAAATATATACACATATGTCTAGTCTGGAGCTCAAAATCACTATACAAAATACATCAAATAGCTACACTAGGTAGCCAAAAACAACAGAAAACATCAATCATCAACTCCATCTGCTAGTTGCAGACCTGCCTCAACACACCAACCTATCCCTGCTCTGCTCCCATACATAGTATGATCATTGTAGTCAAAATCACATGGAAACAATAAGGGTAAGCTAGTGAAAAGAACTCAGCATATGTATATATAAATACAGAAATTATAAACAGCTACAACTTATCAGCACATCATTATGTTCAGCATACAACATATCACATATACAGCTCACATCATTTAGCATAAACAACATTAAACAAACAATGCATCGTCACGCATATTAGCTCGGAGATCTCCTACAACAGCTCAGTCTTACGGCCTACAACAGTTTATATCAGCATGCAGCACAACACAACATAGCAGCAATAACAACATACAACATACGACACAGATCAACTTTTTCAACAATACAACTTAACATCAAAATTCAGCTCAACAACATCTTACAGCACAGCACAATCATCACTCAGCTCAACAATATTCATCAATAATAGCTTAAATCAGCATATATCAACATATATCAGCATGTATCAGCATATATCAACATCTAAAGAAAGTACATGTCTGCGCCCGGTGCACTCATGGTTACGCCCGACATGGCCCAACCAGAGAGCTCAAAGTCACAAACACGCCCGGCGCAATTCAAATTGCGCCCAGCGCAAACGAAGGCAAAGACTATAAAGAGCCTCACGCGCTCGACGTGCCAAACCCGCGCTCAGTGCAGGGAAGGCAGAGACCTCCCTAAGGTCTCACGCCCGGCCCAATACTAATTGCGCCCGGCACCACCCCTGGCAGAGACTCCCAAGGAGTCTCCACGCCCGGCAAGACTTAGTCACGCCCGTCACCACACCAGAATCCCAAAATGCTAAGTCACTAACTGATATCATGCCCAGCTCAGTCCAACCACGCCCGGCGTGAGCTATCCAGGGGCTTCCATTCTTGAGCTCGCCCGGCGCACACAACCTTGCGCCCGGTGGGCTCGACCAATGGAGCCTTCTGATGGTCACGCGCCCGACGCCAAGAACTGTGCCCGGCGTGCCATCATGCAACAACTCTCCAAGTTCTAAAATTTCCATCAATACCTGCACAAACAACCAATCCAAGCACATGCAAACCACCCAAAGAACCCCATTTTCACCAAACAACTCAAAAACCCCAGCTTTACCCGCATGCAACCATCAAAACATGAAAAACCCAAGTTTTCACCAAAAACCCGAAAACACATTTTCTTCAAACACAACCACCAATCTTCAAGAAATCAACCAACAAGTGAGTTTCTAGCTCACTCCCAACAACCAGCACGAAATTCTAGCTTCCCTTACCTCGGTAGAGAAGATTCCGAGATCCGGGAAAAAAAGAAATGGATGAACAAGAAAAAGAAAAAAGCTCCGCACGGCTTCACGTTTAAGAGAATGCCCCTCCCAGTTGCTCACTGCTTCAGCTTAAGAGGAAAGGAAATTTAGGAACAAGAATTCAGGGGCTTTGAGAGAATAAGGAAAAGAGAGGAGAAGAGAAATGAGAAAAGAGAGAGAGAGGCTACGGGTCTTACATCGAGTATATATAGGAACGGTTTAATATTTATGTATACAACAAATGCGTTGACTTTACAAATAAAACACAATTTTATTCAAATTTGAAATTAAATATATCACTTTGTATTGAAACTTTAAATTTTCACTTCAATTTATCTAACAAGTGAATTTGATTTTTAGGAACACAATTAATATCACTTGAAATTAAGATTCAAATTAAGAACATTTAAAATTACAAAAGAAATACATTAAAATGTTAAAAACCCATATAATATTTCTGATGTATATATATATATATTACGTGTAAATATAAGTCACAGGGTAAAAGCCGGCCTGATCCGGTACGTACCCTTCTCCTCATACGATAATATCAATGCATAACAAATCTTAATTATATATATATATATAGTCCACGTTGAAATGCAAATTGGTGTGGGCTAACAATTCATCTAAGCAATAACATTTGCACTTAGAGGAATTTGTTAGCTTGTCAGAAACAACTTGTTTCAGAATTTAATATATTTATAACTCATTTCTTCAGATATTGATCAAATGGCTTCTGCAGCTCCATCTCGCCTTGTGGTCCTTGCTATTTCAATGGTTTTGTTTTCCTCAGTTGCTATGGCTACTGATTTCGTGGTGGGTGGTGAGAAAGGTTGGACTCTTGATTTTAACTACACAGAGTGGGCACAAGACAAAGTTTTCCATGTTGGTGACAACCTTTGTAAGTTCAAAAACTATGTTACTTAATCAGTCAGAGTTTGATTGGTTAATGGCACTCTCACTCTACGTAGTTCTCAAACTTTGTTACAAACAATAATGTCTAGTTGAGTTTGAATATTAAATATGCAGCTACGTTAAATATAGTAATATTGTTTTTCACAATTATCTTAGTCGACTCAAAGAGAATATAAGGTGATTGGGTAACATGCATGTGTGTTTGTGTGAATTGGTGCAGTGTTCAATTACGACAACACGAAGCACAATGTGGTGAAAGTGAATGGAACACAGTTCCAAGAGTGCAACTTCACAGCAAATAACGAGGTACTGTCGAGTGGAAAGGACACGATAACCTTGAAAGCGGAAGGAAAGAAGTGGTACGCTTGTGGGAAAGCTAATCACTGCGCTGACCATCAAATGAAGTTCGCCATCACCGTTGAAGCCGCTGCTCCCGCACCAGCTCCTTCTTCTGCCAACTCTGTCATCGCTTCTCTCTCTGGGGTCTTCCTCTTTGCCATTGCAGCCATCTTCGCGTGAGGATATATACAGATTTCATTCTACAAAGTCACTAGCACATGAGGAATCAAAAGTTATTTTTAAAATTTGTTATAGTCAGCCAAGTTCAACAATAACTCCATGTCATTTGGAATACCAGATTTTTAAATTGTAATTTGCAAATTTTATTTATATATTTCTTTAATTAAAGAATAGTGGATCACTGTCTTTTTTTGAAACATATAATTTAGTCATCTCACATGTGGCATGTTATCAATTTGGTCCTCATGCATAAAAATTTATTAAATAAGTCCTTATACTTATTAAATATTAACTATATTATACATTGTTTGATTAATTCTTATACATGTAATATATTCTTAATTTGGTCTTTATATATATAGTGCATTCTTAGTTTGGTCCTTACATAAAAATGATCAAATTAAGGAAGTATTAATTATGTAAAGAATAAATTAAGAATGTACTACATATACAAGGGTCAAATTAAGAATATATATAAGAGAGTTAACATTTTCATGGACCAAATGAGTAACATTTACCTATATATAGGATTCAATTTAATAAAATTTGACATATATGGAAACATAATTGAGAATTCACAACATGTGTAAGGGTTAAATTATATGATTTATTTTTCTTATTTTAAGTTTTGACATTTAAAATGATTTTTTTAATTAATTTTAATTTAAACCCATTTGGTCTGATAATCTAGTGGACTAATATAATATCAAAAATCGTAACCCATTCGTAGAATTTCTCCCTACCGGGCTATTTTGACCATATACTCATCATTTGTGTAATTTTTTAAATTACTCTTATTTTAGTAAGACTTTTTAGAACACTTATTCGAAACAAAAGTTACCTTAGAAAGGGTGTTCCAAAAAAATATTGCTCTGAAATGGATGTTTTGAAGTAATTTAATTTTCATGGATTACTCAATCCAAAGAGAGATATGACTTGTGGGTGTTCTGGAAGAATTATTGCCATTCGTGAGCGAGTAAAATGATTTATGTGTTTAGTAAAAGTCTATGTCAGATCAAGTATACTTACCAAGCCAATGAATTTGATCAACTACCACTTATTAGAGAAAAATTCTATCAAACAAAGCAAATACATGTCTAGAAAACCATATGAAGTATCGAACTTTGGATAGTTGGGGTCAACCATGCACAACCCACAATGATAAAATTTGAAAATGGGATCCTTATGAGTAAATGTGAAAAACTTGCCTTCTACTTCATTTTTTTTTTGTTTTTTTCTTTTCAATTTGGTAAACTTGTCTTCCACCTCAATTTTTTTCAATATGCAAGACACAAAGTGACAATCCTTGAAGAGGGGTATTGACAATATGGAATGGTGTTTGTTGAGTGCCTTCTATTCATGAATTTTACTCAACTTTTGGCATTCTTTTTGGATAAATTGTAAATATATTTATGATAATTTACCCCTAAATAGGAAGGCTCAAGTTTATATTAAAAGATAGAAGAGTAGTAAAAGTTTAATGGTGATTTTCTCCTTTGTTTCCAGAAAAATTGAGGAAGATAAAATTCTGTAGCCATAGCTGTGGTTCTACAGCTATAGCTATGAAAATCTGGAGAGAAATTAGAAAGTCAGAAAGTTATAACCATAGTTGTGATTCTGTAGTCATGGCTGTGGAAATCTGGAATGCAAAAATTAAGGGTCCAGAGACTTACAACTGTAGTTGTGGGTCCACAACTAGAACCATGGAGCATTGAGGATTAAGAAAGAGAACCAGGGAGTCACAGCCATAGCTGTGAATTCCACAGCTACAACATTGGAGGTTACTTCAACACAAATGAGTCTCCACAGCTACATCGGTGGACTTAAAATTTGCAATTTTTCCCTGTTTTGAAGCCAATATAAAAGGATTATTATATTAAAATATGAATAGGTGAAAAATATAACTTTTTTGGTTATTATAGGTCACAATTATTTATGCATTATGGTCAAAAGTAAAAAAAAATTGTGTTCTATTATCATATATCTCAATCACTTGGAGTGAAGAAAAAAAATTGTAAACTTCATGCCACAATTTTTTAATTGTGACCTAAAGGAAAAAATGTTGCAAGTATAGTCAACTAGAGAAAGTTGTGTTAAAAAGGTATCATAAGTTAATAATAAGAGTAAACTAGTATAATTATTGCAAGAGTGAGAGAGAAATAAATGAAAAATGTTGTCATTTAGGGCATAGATTCAACTTTAGGTATGAATATTTACCAAAGGCCTATTGAGTGTAAAGTCATGAGAGATAAGTAAAAAAAGTTTTTGGAGCAAATCATTAGGATCCTTTATAGCACTCACCCAAATTTATATCTCATTCTTTTAATTTTCCTTTTTGGATAAAAGTTACTTTTAGTCCTTCTAAAAATTTTCAAATTCGTTTTTGGTCCTCCAATTTTTTTGTATTAAATTAATCTTTCTAAAATTATAACATGTTAAGACCAATCATTCTTTTGTAACTCTAGCAGTTTCCTACACAACAAATGAAAAGTGTTTTTCTAATTGGTTCTATCTTCTTTTTTTTGGTATTAAATTAGTCCATATAAAAATGGAACTAAATTTGGTCCTTAAGATATGCTATTTCCATTTTGTTTAAATTTTTTTTCTTGAAAGATTGGGTAGTAAATATAATTAAATCATTTTAATGCTTTGCCAAAAATATGATTTTCACTAATAGTAAACATAACAAAACAATATGTTCCACCAATAGACATAACAAAAACTATGATCCGTTAGTAAATGATTTTCACCATGATAATAACTCACATTTATACAATTACTGTAATAGTCGATAAAATATAAAATCTCTACTTACCAACTTAAACAAGATAGAATTAACATCTCGCAAGGACTAGGCTCAACTTGTTCTACTTTTACAAGGACTAATTTAATACAAAAAAAAAAAATTAGAAGACCAAAAGCAAATTTGAAATTTTATAGAGGGACTAAAAAAAACTTTTTCATTTGCCACATGTTTCTTTTATTGTCAGGTAGGACACCATTACTAATGAAGCTACAAAAAAAGAATCGACCTTAACTTGTTATGATTGTAGAGGGACTAACTTAATATAAAATAATTTTGGAGGACTAACAACAAATTTGAAATTTTAGAAGTACTAAAAGTAACTTTTACCCTTTCTTTTTTCAGACAAACAAATGAAATATGTGTTCATAGGAAAGCAAGTGAAGTTGTATGTTGACGGAGCTTGGAACTATACACATTAGGATAACTTTTTTGAACAGCAAAAGAAGTAAAATATATATAATATTGGTACAAGGGGTACCATATCCCATGTACAAGATTTTGTGGCTATTAAGAATAGTACACTTTACCCTCTGTAAATTCCCAAATCAAATTAACCATACCTACCTTAGTCTAGGTAATTTACTAACCTTTGACCCTAAGTATATAACATACTTGGATCACGTGAGGCAAAACACAGCAAATATTGTCCAGCAAGCTCATGGTAGTTTTGCCACAACATGCTTCGTAGCAGAAGGTTGTGATCGGCGTGGCACTACGTGTGAAATCTTGTTAACCCGTGTCATTACCATAGATCATTTCACCATGACAACTACCATTATCCTTCGGCACTAACACTGAATGTTGGGTCTCACCATCAATTACCCAGGATGCCCTCAAAACCATCACCAGCCCTGCAATCTACCTCACATACATTGCTACAGATTATATCTAATGCCACCATTCCTAATCATCACCATCCGACCTGGCGTGTTACTCGTAGGCTCCTTATCCAAGTAAGCAGAGGCCTGTATTCAGCTGCCATTGAGTGAAGGAATAAGAAAATGAGTTGTTAAAAGCTGACAGCCAAGACCATGAGAACATTAGCACCTGTTGTCCCAGCTTATGACCATCGAATTGACCTTGTTCAAAGACACACTGATTTCTCATTTTCCATGTACACCAACACATTGCAGCCCACCACACCCACCATCTTTCTATTTGTTCTTTAGAGGATATTATGGAGGGTGGAGCCGAGAAATTACATTTCTAATTCAAGACAGGTAAAGTTTCTTAACACAACAAACACTTACAAACCTCATGTTACAGGGATTGATATTTTGAATAACTATTAACAATATCTTTAACAACTCTTTCGCTGCTTTAACTTTCAACCATTTTCCCTTCAAAAACTAAAAAAACTTTCAACCATTTAATTATAAGGTTTGTAATTCCACGCGTAAACTTTTGTGATGAAATATAAAAGTTGTTGCATTCATTATCGAGATATTGACTGGTATGTAGTAACATTTTTCATGGTTAGGTGATGGAGTACTTTCCAACGCACTAGATGAAGTTTAACGTTGCTTTATTTTGTAGATAGTTAATTAATTATTTTCCCCAAAGTTTCTCCAAGCATGCAAATGCAAGAATAAGCACACTTCTTTTTATGTATTATTTATTTATTGACAGTAAGATTGAAGCATAAGCATACTTGAATGCTATATATATACACACGCATTATATAGTTTCATGAATGAAATATGTTGAATTGTGTTCTTTCAATTTACTTTTAAGAATAGAGAGAAAATTAAGAAATCCATTATATTGGTTTCACACAGAAAATTAAATCAATGTGGAATATCATATCCTTAGAAATGAAACAAGAAATTGGTTATTTGACTTCCAAATTCCATTGACTACCACATGTTTTGTATATATAGGTATTGTCAAAATGATCCTGTGCTTGACCCAAAATATTCAACCCTTTGATGATCAAGAGACGACTTGAGTCATCACAAATGAATCACACTATACGTCAAGTAATTCTCACCAACAATTTTTTAACAACACCTGTGTTTGAAAATTAAACTTAGGTCTTGTCAGGAAAGTGCACGCCGTGCTGCTACTCAGAAGCTACACTCATGGAATTCGTGAATTGTAAGGTTACGTTTAATTGATCTCGTCAATTTTGTCAACCTCGTGAGAGGAAAAAAAATATATTATTTATTGTATAATTTAGAATGTTTTGTTGAAGATTTTTATAATCATTAAATACGTCTTTTTAAGGATATCATTAAATACTTTTAATAATAAGAAAGTATGAATGATTAAATTATCCTAAATTCACATGTCAAAGCTTTATTATTTTATTAACTATTGTGATGAGTCATGCCACTAGCTAGTGGAAAAATAATATATTACGACAT